TGCTGCTGCTGCTGCTGCTGTTGCTGTTGCTGTTGCTGCTGCTGCTGCTGCTGCTGCTGTTGCTGCTGCTCAGGATGCGGTGATGCCTCTGAGCCCGTTTGCTGCACACCAAGACCACTGCAGCAGGAAGACGGAACGGGTGTATCTGCTGCTGCTGCTGCTGCTGTTGCTGCTGCTGCTGCTGCTGCAGTCTGCTGCTGGGCAGCGTCAGACGAGGGAGCCCACGGCGTAGCAGCAGCAGCAGCAGCAGCAGCAGAAGCAGCAGCAGCAGCAGAAGCAGCAGAAGCAGCAGCAGGAGTGTATGTTTGTGTGCCTGTGCTCCCGAAGGTATCGGCTGTGTCTTCGAATGCTGCAACACTCTCAGGCTCTGCTGCTGCTGCTGCTGCTGCTGCTGGTGCTGCTGCAGTTGCTGCTGCAGTTGCTGTTGCTGCTGCTGCTGCTGCTGCTGCTGCTGCTGGTGTACGTGCGTATGGAGTTTGTAGCGTTTGCTGCTGACTCTGTTTTGCTGCAGGCTGAGAAATGTTGAAGCCGTCTGCTGCTGCTGCTGCTGCAGGTGCTGCTGCTGCTGCTGCTGCTGCTGCTGCTGCTGCTGCTGCTGCTGCTGCATCTTTTTGGGGCTGCATGCGGAGCCGCTGCAGCGCCTTCGAGAAGGCAAAGAAAGACTCCTCATCTTCTTCTGTGTCTTCTGCTGCTTCTGCTGCTGCTGCTGCTGCTGCTGCTGCTGGATCAGCTTGACTTGCTGCTGCTGCTGCTGCTGTTCCTGCTGCATCCGACTGTGTTGCTGCTGCTGCTGCTGCTGCTCCTCCAGCAGCAGCAGCAGCAGCAGCAGGAGACGTAGACGCCCACAGCAACCCCACCCAACCCCTCACAGGCCCCGCCCGCCACTCGCCTGCACACACAAACCCTAAACCCTAAACCCTAAACCCTAGACCCTAAACCCTAAACCCTAAACCCTAGATAACCCTAAATAAAACTAAACCCTGAACCCTAAACCCTTTCATCGACGCCCTAAACCCCACTCACTAAACCCTAAACCCTAAACCTGATAGTCTCAACCAAACCATAAACCCTAAACCCTAAACCCTAAACCCTAAACCCTATCTTGCCTTTTAATCTTCCCGCTCCAAAAGCTGCAGTTTCATCTGGCTGTGCCCACCCAGCAGCAGAAGTTTGCTGCTGCTGCATCTGCTGCAGCAGCAGCAGAGCCAGCTCCTGCTGCTGCTGCTGCTGCTGCTGCACCT